TTCGCTTATTATACACAACACAGGAAAATTTATAGTCATCAATAGCTTGCTACCGTAATAGATTATTTAATTTCCATTAGGCTTCCTTTCCCATTTGACAAAAGCCCTTTGCAAATAAAGGAATTTGGCCTGTTATTTAACCCTCTATGCTCATCTTGTAAAGCTGAGAGACAATCCCTTACACAATATTTTGGTCCGAAAATGTTTGTAAGTCACAGCTCAAATACAACACTTCACTTCGACACACAGGTCTCTGGTTTAATCTGGGTGTAGACTGGGCAGAGAGGGCATTTTATAGGCTGCAGCAGATTTCCAGCAAGAAATTATTTTGCCCCTTGTGCTGTTTATTATATTATATGCTCAGGAAGAATGCACTATGCAGCTGAAAGCAAGGAAAACGTTGGAATAACTTTCCTACTTTCTAGATATGTGTTGTCGCACAGACAAAACAGAGCAAACCTTCCTCCAGCTATCTTAAAATAATAAATCCTCTTATTTTATCAGGGGAAGTTAATGGATATGGACTGCAGATGTTCGAGCTGAGCAGCCTCATGCCCACCTACACAGTTGCCTTGAAAACTCACTAGAAAATACAAATTGCCTTTTTCCCCCGTCTGCTTTTACTGCGTTTTATCAGCTAGACCTGGCAGCTGAATGCTCTGTCTTCTTTAATTGACAGTAACTGCTGCCTCAAAGGTGTAAGATGCAGTCACAGTGGCAAATGCTTTGCAAGCAGCAGACGATTCCCTTAATCAGCAGCCTGGCTTGTTTCCCTCACGCCCCCCCCCCCCCAAAGCACAGGCAAAACTCCATCAGCATGGGCTGCTCGTCTCCTAGTGCTTTTCATGCCAATACTTTCACAAATCTCCAATTCATGACATCAAGGATTCATTGGCTCCCATTAGTCTTTACTCAAAAGCATGATCCTTTATCATCCACAGGCCACCAAGCTAGAATTGGCTATATAATCTATTAACTATGGTATGGCACAGTGGAGGTAAGGGAATGGCATGGCACCTTGTGGCATAACATGGTGACAGCATCTTACTGACGTACATGTTTCCCCCAATTTTTTTAAAATTAAGCAGTGAATGTGGAACAAGCTATTCCTTAGAACAATTGCCGCCAAGAATACTATGCTACTGGCACTACAAAATTATGAAAACGTAACCTAGCAGTTCGAAAGCACATCAAAGTGCAAGTAGATAAATAGGTACCGCTCTGATGGGAAGGTAAACGGCGTTTCTGTGTGCTGCTCTGGTTCGCCAGAAGCAGCTTGGTTATGCTGGCCACATGACCCGGAAGCTGTACGCCAGCTCCCTTGGCCAATAAAGTGAGATGAGCGTCGCAACTCCAGAGTTGGCCACGACTGGACTTAATGGTCAGGGGTCCCTTTACCTTTACCTTTAACCCAGCCAAACCAAAGGATTGTATCCAACTAAGCAGACCCACTGGGTGGAATTAAACATCACACTATGGGAGGGTTTCCCAAACTTGGGTCTCCAGCTGTTTTTGGTCTACAATTCCAAAAAACAAAACAAAAAACCTGGTCCTGCTAGCTAGGGATGATGGGAGTTGTAGTCCAAAAACAGCTGGAGAATCAAGTTTGGGAAACCCTGCACTAAGGCAACTGTTTCATTGGCATGCCGGGAGGAGCAATCCCCCTTTCCTGCTCTGTGTCCTGTTCTGGAGGTTGTCCTGACCCTCCCAAAGAGATTTTGGGGAGGGTAACATGAGTAAAGGGTTGCATAGGGAGGGAGGAGTTTTGCTGTCCTAGTGGGACTTGTGCTGGCTTCTGGGAGCACAAGACTTCAGTTGAATGCAGCTCACTAAAATTAATGAACTAAGTTACTCGTGTCCATTAATCTCAAGGGGTCTGATCTAAACAGGGCTAACACTGGATACAACCCAAAGTATTTTTATATCCCATTTATTTCAATGGGATTTATAAGTGCTTAACTCTGGGCCAAGCTACACATTATGTTGATTGTGTCAATGCAATTAACACGATCCTATTAATCGCTTCATTATAGTTCCTCTTGCCTAACATGGCCTAACACAGCCCATCTTGCCATCCTCAGACATTTTGCAGCATCCAGAACCAAATTCCAGGCTTCCTTCAAGGGCAGCCCCATGTAGAGTGAATTGCAGCAATCTATCTGAAGGGGGGGGAAATGACTAACAAGGTGATCCTATACATATCTAGAAGCAAGTCCTCTTGAGTGCAATTGGACTTATTACAAATTGAATAATGCAACTGAACTGTAAGGTATGAATGTCTGAGGTTAGGTCTGCTTTTTCCAGAAACAAGTACAATTGGAGGCTCAGATACCATTGGCAGAAAGCACTCCTGAACTCAGCTGTCTCATGCACATCCATAAGCAAGGATGGATCCAAGAAAAATCCAAGAGAAAATTTTGTTGCATTAGCTTTATTGGAAAGGTGGGGATTATCCCCCCCCCCTTTTCCTCCAACATTTGGTACATACCGTATTTTTTGCTCTATAAGACTCACTTTTTCCCTCCTAAAAAGTAAGGGGAAATGTGTGTGGTCTTATGGAGTGAATGCAGGCTGCGCAGCTATCACAGAAGCCAGAACAGCAAGAGGGATTGCTGCTTTCGCTGCACAGCGATCCCTCTTGCTGTTCTGGCTTCTGAGATTCAGAATATTTTTTTTCTTGTTTTCCTCCTCCAAAAACTAGGTGCGTCTTGTGGTCTGGTGCATCTTATAGAGCGAAAAATACGGTAGTTGATGTACCAAACGGTTGGCTGCCCAGAAAGTTCATGTGTCTTAGTCTCTACCAAAATTCACAGCTCCTTTGAAAACTGAGTGTGTGATTTTAATCGTGAGAGACATCTTTAATGCAGGCCACCTTGATAAAGGAACAGATTTTAGATAATGCTCTAGTAATGTTTGCCCTTGTATCGTTTTGTGTCTCACCACTTCAGGCTTGCATTTATACATTCAATTCTTGGTACTTGACACACAATGGATAGGTTTATAAAAAGCACTTCTGAATGTCAATTATCGGTAGAACACTGCAGTTTGAAGCACACCTACTTCAGAGAAAGTCACACTGAACTAAGTTTGGCTTACTTCTTAGTAGAAATGCATGGGATTGCACTGTTAGTATTACAACATCTAACCAAATTAATAAAGTTTATTTAGACGTATAGGTGTATCTATAAGATTTTTGTTTTTGTTTTACATTCACGTTGTGCCTGCCAACTGCATATAATCCAGGAGTTCTGGATTTTCTGACAGCATGTGGAGATGTCCTCCTTCCCCACCACTGAGTTGTAACAATCAGCTCCTAACATCTGGAACCAAGGTATTCTCAAGCAAAAATCATGAAAAACTCCAGGCACCTCTCATTTTACAAATTAAGCACTTGTATCCACAGCGCTCAAAATTCTTGCAAAAATATTAGGCTTTCCACCCACTTTTTTATTATTATTAATCCCCCTCATGGTCTTTTATCCATCCACACTCCTGTTTCACTCTTAATCTTCTGTTAAATCAATGCCTACAGCTTATCCCATGATCACTTATTCAGAAGTGAAGTCCTACTAAGTTCAGTTGGCCTTGAGCTCCATCTTTCCCCCGAGCAATAGAGAAGTGGCATGATGTAGTGGACAGAGAGTTGGACTGTATACATAGGAAGCTGCCTTATACCAGATTGAATCATTGCTCCATTTAGTTCCGTATTGTCTATTTGGACCTGCTCTCTATGGTTTCAGGGCTCATTCTTAGTCTCACCTGGAGATTGAACCTTGGACCTTCTGGATACAAAGCAGTTGCTCTGCCACTGAGCTGTGCCCCTTCCCCGAGAGGCAGGCAGGTTCATATTACTACTAATAATGTTTAAGCATGAGACTGTCTAATCTGCCTTGCTGGGTTAATGCAAGGATAAAAAAGAGAGCAGAGAACCACACAAGCCATCTTGGAAGACAGGAAATAAATGCGGCAAAGCAATCTATAAGGCACATGAGTCAGGACATCCAGAAAATGTAATGGGGGGAGGTTTAATCCTGACATCTTTGATCCAACCTGGCCTTTTGCTGCTGCCACCCACCAGGACTCAACCTCCTTCCCATGATGTCTACTAGCTCGCTTGGCTCTGAAATGGGATTCAGCCAGAGGTGCATCTGGTGCATCTACAGGCTCAGCCACCCCTATTTTGTCGGAGATTTCCTCTGCTTGCCCCATGACTTTGAGGCACAGGTCCGAGGGGGCCATTTCTCATCCTGTCTCTTTCTCTGGGAAAACCTGCCATTCAGTGCTGAATTGGAACAAACTGGTTCTCTGCTGGTTGACAAATCTCAGACCAAAAAAGAAGTGTGGCCGAGCCTTATGTCGTTTTCGGCAGTGGAGTCAATGAAGGTTGGTCAGTTTGGGCCAAGGAGGCCCTGCCCCAGCCACACATCCACCTCGGTCTGCCCTCACCTGCCTGCCTTCTTAGTTAGCAACCAGTCCAGGGAGTGGTTCTGCCTGTTAGCTTCCTCTCCCTCCGGAGTCCCAGTAGAATTCAGCAGGGAGAAGGATCGGGGCAAACCGAGAGCTGCCTCTGCCACTATGCCTATGGTGGGATTCCTTGCCTTCCTCTCCACCACGCTTACCAGTCTGCGGGCTTCCAGGGATCAGATAGTAAGGCATTACTGCCGGTAGGGCGGGTGCTGTCATGAGGCCAAGGAGGCAGCGCCCAGGGCGCACACTTTAGAGGGGCACAGTTTTATACAGATTGGTTTTTGGTCTATCCAAGGGTGCCAGCTTGGAGGGGAGCAGGTAAGCCCTGCACAATTGGGCAATTGTAGTTAGCTTCGCCCCCCCCCCCCGGGGTGTGTGTGCTTTGTCTGTGCAAGTAGTTGGGCTCGCCTAGGGCGCAAACAGCCTGGCCCCGTCTACGGGTCTCTCCTGCTCGGTCTGAAGGGGGCTCCCCTGGACTTCGCCCTCGGGCCACCCTTCCCTTCTCCCCTCCGCAGCCGCCCCCGGCCACCTACCAGCCTGGCCAGGATCCTGTGGCTCTGCTCGTCGGTGCAGCGCCCGGAGAGGAGGACGCCGCTGTGCGCTAAGAAGAAGAAGGCGCCCCCTGCCGCCCCGCACGCCGCCCAGAAGAGGCAGAGGGCGGCGGAGCAGCGCCTGCCCAGCCTGGCTCTCAGCAGGCGCTTCAAGGCGGGCATGCCTTGCACACTCCGTCCGCTCGTCCGGGCTGCTGCTGTTGCTGCTGCTGCTGCAGGGAATTCCCGCCTTAGCCCGTGCAGCAGACAGGAGAGTCCCGGCGATCCATCAGCGACGCCGGCGCGCCCCGGGCTGCCTCCCCGCTTCCTGCGAAGTCTCCAGCGCGACCTGACCGCCCGCTCGGCTTGCAACGTGCAGCCAAGAGCCAAGCGCACGGGCGGAGCGCGGCGGGCGCGTCCGGCGGCGGGCGCCTCCCGCGGCGCGCATCTGACCTCCGGGGAAGCCGCGCTCCTCGCTTGCTTCCCAGCGCGCCGCCTCGCAGTCGCCCGCGGCCACCAGTCGTCGTCGGCGGAGCAGCCGCGCTGCCTTTCGAGGGGAAGCCACGTAGGTCCGCCTCCCTTTTGTCTGCCGCGTCCCTCGGACGGTAGCAGCGCGGCTCCCCTCCTCGCCTGCCCGCCCGGCAAACTTTCGCCGACGCGGAGGAAGCCCGCGAGGAGGGAGAGGCAGGCAGAGCGCGCCTCCTCCCGCAGCGCTGTTCCTTCCCAAATCGAGATGGTTGATGGACACTTTGAAAGGGGCGACTCCAGAATGCTCTCCTTTTCGAAGGAGCACATGCAAGTCGGTCCTGTTCAGTTATTCCTTGGGGACTTTGACGCCCCGATATGCTTTCCGTTATAAGCTGTATTTTAGCAATATATACTAACTTACTTACATATCGAAATGAGATGTGCGTCGTAAATTAAATGAAAAGCCATATTACAAAGACAAGGATACAAAGGACCCAACCCAGTTCAGACCACCACCCCCATAAAAGATTTGAGGGGACTTGGACCCCCCTCCGAAATGGATGGGCATTGCCATTTAAAGGTGTGCTTGTGCGGAATCACGTGATCGATTATGCAAGGCGGGGCATACCTCGCCCCCCCCATATTTAATTCAAGTTGGCACCCCTGCAAGGTTATAACTCTACCTCCCTCTTGCCCTTCTGCCCTTCTATGGCCCTCCTTCACTTTTATCTCCTTCCTTAACTTGATGGCCCTTGTTGTCCCTCCCAGCTCTGCAATTCTATGGCTTCTCCCTTCCTGCCACACTCCCTTCTCCTCCATGACCTGATCTTAATTAATTTCCTATCTTAACACCTGCAAACCATAGATGGTTGCAAGCTTGTCAGTATAATTTGTCCTTTATGGGGCAGAAATGCTGGCATTGCTGTACTGTATCTTGTTCAAACAAGCCAAAGGGCATATTAGGCTGTCTTCACAAATGAGAGGTTTCGAGAAGGTTATCAAAGTGCTGGGGGGGGGGGGAGTTGCCGAAGGAATTTCAAATTCATTGTACATCCTATAGAGCCAATGTAAGTTTTCCACTTGAATTATAGGTTTGGGAAATGAAAAGGGCAACAACAGCCTTGGAATTACAGAAGCATAAACTGATAATCCCAGAATATTGCGATTGGTTGCATACATGGCAACCACGCCGGCTCACTAATATCAATATCACTTATTCTACAGATATTCTCTGGCCACAGTATCCAGGATACTACTGCCTGCCTGCTGCTGTTACTAGTGCAACATTCACTCTGAATGCAAAGGAGGTGACACATCAAATAGGTCACATAGACAGCTCCTGGTCAACAAAATTCCATTAATTGTAGCACAGCCTTACATACAGTTACTCAGAAGTATGTCCTCCTATATTCAAATAGGCTTACTCTCATGTAACTGTGGGTAAAATTCAGAGAGTTACACTCTTCCTTCCCTTCTAAGAGCTTGGACGAGCTTACATAGGGACAGCCTACAGAATCACACCTCCTTAGTATCAGTAGATCACAGTGCCTTCCAGCCATGCTCTGGAATTCCATCTTTATCAAGTTATTTAGGCGTTAATCCCATTCCAGTGACAGCAAGCACTATCCAGCTATGGCTGAGTTCATGCCATACATGTATGTACACAGTGCTCCTGACAACATCCCTGTAGAGTAGCACACTGTGGGCTATACTCATATTACAAATTAAGGAGTTGCTGAATCTAAAAGAAGGTGGATTGTCTGAAGCTTCTCCTGCATCTTACCTGAATACTATTCTAGCTCAGGGACCTTTTCTATTTTAAATAGCACCTTATTCCATTTTGCACTGAAGATAAGCAAGATCAGATTTCTCTAGTCTGGGGCCCTCCAGGTGTTTGGAACTACAACTTACATCAGTCTCAGCCAGGCTGTGCAAGCTTTTCTAGCTAAAACATGCAGAAAGGCAGCAGAGACATATGTGGCATCACATTTAGACACCCACTAAACAGAAGAGCTCTTTCGCCATTAAAAAGATGGGCGTCTGTGAATGCAGACAAATCTTGCTTTGTTGCTTGCAGGGACATTGCAGTTCCTTTGCTACAGGGATGGAACTACTAGAACCAAAGCATTGCGACCTCCCTGAAACATCCCTTACCAAAGGATGCAAGAGCTGGATTTCATATAGGCATTTAAAAGGCCTGAGATGGTGGAGGGCAGCAAGGCAGCAAGAAGATTAAACATGCTACCCATGAGATGCATAAGATCTAAAGCTTTCTTGAGGCTGGCAGGAGGAATGGAAGTGAGAGGCGAAAACAAAAGCTCTACTATTCTCTCACAAGAAGCCCTAGAGGCTGAAACATTATCACAAACCACTTCACTCTCACCCCCCTACCTTCAGTCTAGAGGTCTTTTATGAACCTCTTCACACTCTTTCGTTCATTGTTCCCATCTGCAGCCTGCATACTTACTTGACACCTTAAATCCAGCCACCTTGATAATAATATATTAAAGTCCATACTAAATCCAAAAATTTGCATTGGCAAAATTGGTGAGCCGCTAAGGTCTGAGAGCTATAAAACAGAAGGTTTTAGTTCTGCTAGGAGTTTAAGAGATTGGGGTTTCATTCATTGATTTGTTTAAATAATAGGTCTATTGCCTGTAGCTTTAAAAAAAATCATTACAGCCCGTTGGCTGACTTGGTTTCACTGCCACCTCAGATGTTGCAGCCATAAAGTCATTAGGTTAAAAGAATTGTATTTTTTTTCAACTGAAAAGTGATACGTAAACGTTTTAAATAAGGAAATATAGATTGATAATCAACCAAAAAGCCACATCAGACTTCATAGCTGAACCTCAATCCCGATCAGATGATTCAAGCAAATGAGTTATATCACCCTGTACAGAGCATGTGGTAGTCGAGGTGGCAGACTACCCTTCAGACACTGTCGTATTACAATTCCCATTGACCCTGACCACCAGCCATGCTGCCTGAGGCTGATGGAAGGTGTAGTCCAAAACATCTGAAAGGCACCACATTGACAATTCTTGCTATAGAGGAAGACAATGGAAAACAACTGTATTTGGTAAGGTGGAGGGTCTTCTACATATTAAATGGTATGCCGGTGCTACAGCTAGGTGGGGGGCTAACCAGGTCTTTTGCCCCAATGAAGCCATTGAGACTCCCAGCCTGTGTGTGCATGCAAGTGTGCATGTGCCAAACTGGGCCTTTGACCCTGCTGAAATAAAGCCTTGCTTCGCCCCTGACACGTTGCTTACACGCAGGAATGGACAGGTAGTATATCAGGATCTGCTTGTAGATCTTTGGCTGATTTGCAGTAGATCACCAAGCTTTCCTCATTTCCAACAAGAGCAGCAGCAACAAGCTTTCGCATCTCCACCTTCTTAATTAGGCGCTGAGATTAGGAAAACAAATGGCTGTGGGAACTAAAATGGATTTTTTCTGTGTTCTGGTACTGAATACAAACTGGGAACTATTTGTTCTAGTCACATGAACATCACAGATTTTGTTATTTATAACACCTATGTATTTTATGCATTCTTACATTTTCACCCAACCGCTTCTCCACTGAACTCCAGAAAGCATATCTGTGTGTCTCCCCACCCCCATGCTATGAGGAAGGCTAAGATGGGAGAGACACTCAGCAAGACTAAGTAATAATCTGAAGGCAGCTCTCCCTGTTCCTAAACCAACTTATTTAGCACTACACCACAATGACTTTAAAGCTGTCTTGGGGTTTTCTTATGCGTTATGTGCTTATTTATTAAAATGTGAGTGCAATTAAATAAAATAACCCCAAGTCTAAACAAACAGCACAACAGAATTGATGGCATCAGCTGATGTGCAATTAAGCGGGTAACCAAAGGAAACGAGTGTGGTCACAGCTCCTTGCACATGAATTGGGCTCCAAGCTACCAGACAATATGGTTGAGCCTGAAATAAAGGTTGACTGGTGGAATGAAGGTCAGGAGTGAGATTTCTCCACAGACCACTGCTTGGAAACCCATTCTGGTGTGAGTCCATAATACCCAGCCAGAACATAACACAGTAGTCTATGAAGGTGCTGTCAAACAAGTAAAGGAAAGCATTCTGTATATCAATGGTTGGGAAGGGGGGTGGGGTGGGAATAGTTCTACCCCTGCTGACTACAAAAAAAACCCCACTGCACAACCCACACTGCCCATGCTCATCCTGCAATCACACCCATTTGCAGTGTTGAGGCTAGGCTGAGCTGAGAAACATTGTCTGTTTTGGTTTCACATATGACCAGCTTCATAATATCCAAAAGCTTATTCATTCAGGCTGCTAAACTGAATCCATAAGACACATTGACCCAACGTAGCTTAGACATACTTTGGCTCACTGTCTTGAGTAACCCCAAGGCCCATGCTCAAATGGAATTCTTCGTGCCAGTCACCTGCACACCACAGACTGCTATTTACAGAATTAATGAGAGCTGAGGCCCTCATATCCAGGGGCTCTTTTACATCTTGTCAGCATTTGTTAGTTGTATATAAACAAACCAGGGGCTTAAGGTAGTTGAGAGGATGGGTGCTAATATAAACATACACTGAGGCTCATTCCATTTCTTGAGCCAGAATTCTTCAATATTACTGTTTGGCTCTCTATTTTGCCCTTTCTTCCACAGTGACAAATGTTGCGTTTTGAACTGAGTGCACATTACAAAATGGAATGCATTAGCACAAAACCTAAAATGCAGAAAGCTCTCTGGCAAAGCAGATGACCTGGGAAAGCAAGATTATCCCCTCTGCCATCCTGATAGCAGGACTCTTACATCTAGGGGTACAGTGGTACCTCGGGTTACAGACTCTTTGGGTTACAGACGCTTCAGGTTACAGACTCTGCTAACCCAGAAATAGTACCTCAGGTTAAGAACTTTGCTTCAGGATGAGAACAGAAATCGCGCAGCGGCGGCGTGGCAGCAGCAGGAGGCCCCATTAGCTAAAGTGGTACCTCAGGCTAAGAATGGACCTCCAGAATGAATTAAGTTCTTAACCCGAGGTACCACTGTACTTAGCAAAACCTCATCCTGTTTGTCACCACACAAAAGGAAGAACTGCAAGGAAATCTGACAGATCTACATGAGTAATGTGATTCCCTAACACAGTGGTTTTCAACCAGTGTGCTGTTGCACCCTGGGGTGCCTTGAATGAGAGCCACATGCATTGAGGGCAACACTGGCCTCTGTCCCTCTTTCCTTCCTTCCCTCCCTCTTCTGATGCCCTCTTGCTTCTCTGCCTCTCAAAGGCTTACACCTCGCCTCCAGCTGTTTTGGGACTACAACTCCCACCATCCCTAGCTAA